AAACCGCAGTATCTTTGGTTACCATCTACTGTGCAGTGAAATCTTAAGCACCTTTTCCGAAACTCAGGAAACACAAACTGCAGTGAGGATTCTGACTTGGCAAACGGCCTCCTTTGGAAGCATTAATCCTCAGCTGTGGGAAGGACGGCCCCTGCCCCTGCCCCCTCCGGGTGAGAGTCCATCGGTCTGCATCACTGCGAGTGAACAGCTGAGTTCTCAGACTCGTGAGGACCCCCATCTCTCAGGCCTGCAGAAGGAGCCGGGCTTGGGGTGTCCCCAGGTCACTGGCAGGTTGGAAGGTCCTAGGAATCAGTGACTTGGGTTCCAGTTCCCAATCAGCTGCTTCCTACCTCTGCAACCTTGACAGCTCACTTTTGCTGAGCAGAGCTGAGATCTCCAGGCAGCCTTGAGGATAGTATAAGACATGTTGAGTACAGGGCTCAGCAAAGTTCCTTGAACAAGAAGGTGCTCATTTTTCATTAATTCCCACTTCTCTCCCCTTACTGGAGTCTGAAGTCACAGGATCCTGGTGCCTCCCCAGTTCGAAGAGCTCTAGCACCAGACCACACCGACTTGCCCTCACGCTAGGGTGTCACAGGGCAGCTACCCTGCCTGCCAAGATGGTGTCTGTGGGTTTGTGAGGAGGGGCAGGAAGAAGGCCCTTTGGGGAAGTGGCAGCAGGTGGTAGGGTTTGGTGGCAGGCGTAGATCTGTGTGACCCAGGGTGCCCTACAAGGCTCTTATCTCTCCCTTCCGTGCCTGATGGGCCTTTGGGTTTATTGTCCTTTTTGTATGCATTGCAGGTCTGGTCTACATCAGAGAGGGTAGTAAACATGGGACTGATTCCCTTGAGGATTCTGCATCGCTGACAGCACTCAGTAGGTGGAGGCCTGATTTCAGATATTGGGGGTCTGTTGGTCTCTGGGAGCTCTGCTCTCTGCTTTAATAAGTGCTGCAGCCTCGTTGCAAGCAGTGGATGGCCATGTTGCGTGTAGTTTACAAATTGGAGATCTGAGATGAAAGTATTTCCTTTTGGTCAGGCTGGATGGTGGTATCAAGTGAACTAAAAAAAAGCGTTTTATAGTTGGGGACCAGTGTGCCCCATTGAAGTGGGATAAAAATACTTTTGAGCAAAATCACCTTTTTCCCATTGTCTTTCTGTATCTGTAACCACATGGCAGGTGAGACTTTGGAGCTACACTGGAGTCTGAATGTGTCTTTACAGGGAAACATGAAGGGTGGTGCTTTAAGGCCACCCATAAGTGAGTGAACCCTCCGAGCGGATGGACACATGTTACAGATGGTGTCGTGTGTGGAGTACCAGTGGGTAACGGCCAAGGGCAGGTAATGGCAGAATTAAGTCCCTCCACCACCCTGCATCTCAAGCCTGTGTGGACCGAGATGACCTGTTTTACTCCACACACCTGAACCTCAGTTTTTCAGCCTCCACACTATTGACATTTGGGGTCAGGTAGTCCATTGTTGGGGGGCCTGTCGTGAGCATTGTGGTATTTAGCTGCATCCCTGACCTCTGTCTGCTAGACACCACTAGCACTCCCCTGTCCTCTGTGCATCAAAAATGTCTCAGGCATTGCCAGATGTCCTCTGGGGCAGAATCACCCTCTTTGAAGAACACCAACCTAAACATAAAGAGCATCTTGGCAGAAACATTAATTGGGTGCCATTTGCGATATCACAATCTGTCATCAAGACCCAGGCTCCACAAGATATGGAAGCAACCTAAATGTCCATCAGTAAATGAATGGATAAAGAAGATGTGGTATATATACACAATGGAATATTACTCAGCCATAAGAAGAAAACAGATCCTACCATTCGCAACAGCATGGATGGAGCTAGAGGGTATTATGCTCAGTGAAATAAGCCAGGCGGAGAAAGACAAGTACCAAATGATTTCACTCATATGTGGAGTATAAGAACAAAGGAAAACTGAAGGAACAAAACAGCAGCAGAATCACAGAACCCAAGAATGGACTAACAGTTACCAAAGGGAAAGGGACTGGGGAGGATGGGTGGGAAGG